ATATATAATTTTACACCCTCATCAGCATAACAAAATAATTTGATTAACCTCTCAAACATCAGCTTCATATTTTTTCAACAATTTAAATTTTATCATTTTACCAAATAAATTAATCGAGTCAACATTTTTATACCTAACTATATATCAGTAAAATGCTTGTATATAGTTTTTAGTTTATTGGCTTATTTATCAATGAACATTAGATAAATGTAAACAAAATTAGAGTTAGCTTTAAGCTATTTTTCTACTGTTGTCTTTAAACAAATGTCATCTTTCTAAAAATTGAATTCGTAAAGATTCAGTACATCTAAAACTTTACCACAAATATAAACTGCARGGTTCTTACTAATTTATTTTATCTTTACATTTGGTTCATTATAATAGAAACTTCAAACTCAAATAAAAATTAACATAGAGCTTTGAATAAATGCATATCATCCACCACCGTACATGTTAAAGTTCAAACATAAGGTCAGTTAGAGCTCAGAGGACGTGTTGAGGACAACACTCAGCTACTACCACTGCAACCTTCAGCTGAGCTGGAATCAAAACATTTCTGTTTGATTCCAGATGAAAGAGTTGCAGATGTACGTTCAGGGATTATATTCTGAGATTCTCATTAAAATACACCCAGTGGTTCATGACGTAATCTTAAAAACACATTATTGTTGATTTTCTAAAGGTTAGGGTCGTTTTAAGCAGACATTTTGCAGATTGCTCCAAGTAAGTGTTGAGCATTTTAGCTCCAAAAAAGTAAAATTGGCAGATTTGTAGCCAATTATTCCCTACAAGTTGAAGTGGGTTGCCTCCAATTCACACACTGATGAAACACTGAGAGAATCGGTCTGTTCATGAGATATTTTGCTAACAAACCCACTCTTTGTCATTTTAAACCCATTGAATTTCATCGTCTGCTCAGGATGAACGTTTCAAACTTTTCTTTTTGGAACAAACTCCTGATTCTTGTTTATGTTTCACTTTTCAGTCACCCACACTCACCTCATCTGTTCCTCTTTCTTAGTTTCCAGTAACACACACACCCCCGTGTACCTTCCACCCCCTCCATTAAAGACCTTCTGTTGGGTTCAGCCTGACTAAGAAACAGACGTCTGAGTCACTTTCACATTTGTTTTTCGGGTGAAGTTCTCCTGAATCGGTGTGGGGAGGGAGCGCTGGGCCCACAGGTCGTGTTTACTGAGGTGAAAATGTTTACACGTTGGAAGTGTGGACAACAGGAGGGTCATCAGCACTGAGTCAGCCTGGGCCTGGGCCATGTCAGCTCATCACATGCTGGTCTGTTTGTGTGGGATCAGAGCGTGACTGGCGCCTCCCTGTGGCTGGGGAGGAGACCTGCAGCCGGCGGACGCTCATTTCCAGGAAGTGATTTCAGTGGGCGGCAGTGTGGGTTTGTCAGAAGGAGGACAACTGCAGGGAGAAATGTCAGTGAAAACAGCGGTTCTGGACGGATCAGATAAGATGACGGACRGCTGGGAGCCACGGGGGTTTTTATTTAATTAATAAAGTCCAGATAGCATCACTGCAGGTGCTTTTAGGGGGTTTTACTTGAGCTTATTTACCTGGGATTGCTGGAGTGGATGGAAATGTTCACATTTGATTGTGTGGGTTGTGACAGTCATAAAGATAGCCAGCTGTGGGTCTCTGGTTGGTTGAAGCCTGAAGACCTTTACAGAGGGAATCTACCTGCCTTTAGTCACTGTTCTGTTGTGGCTTCACAAAGTACAAACAGACATGGGCCAGGATAAGGTTCTGACATGATGACCTTAAGCAAAAATATCAGTTTCATGCTACTAAAACAAACTTTTATAATTGTACATTATTTTCTTTTGTTTCTAAGCAAAAAGGCAATTACTATTACTATTAATAACATGAGGTATAATAATACAATAATGCAAGTGAAAATATTTGGAAAATKTTAATGTTTGTGACACTGGGACATTTTGACTTGGTGACATTTGGTTTAATGTTTTGACACCTTCACTGTTATCAGCTGGGGCTGGGCAACATCAGATCGTGTTTAATTAATCAAATGAAAAACTGCCTCTGATTAATATTTGACACTTTATGATTACTGCGATTAGTGACTTATATAAGTCATTGCAGTACAATGCTAATGATAATGCTAGCATGKAGCTAACAATAATTAAGAGCTAACTTTAACTCAGGTTATAGCTAACACTAACATTTATTAGGAGCTAACATTAATGTGGAGCTAATGTTAATATGAAGCTAAAACACAGAGCTAATGTTAATATGAAGCTAAAACACAGAGCTAATGTTAATATGAAGCTAAAACACAGAGCTAATGTTA